GATAGTCTAGAAACGTGGCGTGACACTAGTCACGTGACCTCGCTGACGCAACAATATAAAGGAATTGTATATTGAAACCTCTGAATGAAATAAATGAACCCTGAAGTACTCCACTTGTAACAGTAATCCAATTATAACTTTGTTTACAACAACCCTCGGCTTTCTTCCATCTAACCACTTTTCAATCCAGTGAACCAACTTATCCCCCACATTATCTTTACAAGCCTTTTAGCTGGCACCTTGTCAAATGCTTTCTGAGAATCCACATACACCAAATTCGCATCCTTACCTTTATCTACATATCAGTACCCTCTTCAAAACATTTCAAAAGATTACTAGTAGGCCTAATGATACTGAATTAGGTTAAGCCAAAATCCACACACTGAGTCATAAAAGTAATTATAATGCATAAAACTTTCAAAAAGCAAATAAATATTTGCTATCTTGTATCAAATAACAGTTAACTAAATTAGCTATGATAAGAAATAGCAAACTTAATTATTTTACTTATAAAGCATGTAAATCCACAATTTGACCATTATTTGAACAGACATAAAACAAGTTAAGTTAGCAGTTGAGACTAAGTTTGAATTATGAGTAGTCACAAAGAGAAAACTGGCCACTTTTAATCAGTTAATTATATGACTGTTGGGACACTCATGTTCTACGGGACTACCAGCAAGACAACAACTGACCCCCTCAAGGTGGTTTCCTGTACTAGGTGATGGAACCTCCCAGGGAAGGTTCTGTATTTTCAGTTTACCTGTGAAGGGATTCTAGTGGTTGAGGAGCATCACTGATGGTCCTTTATGTCATTGACACTTTAACATACCACCTTGGCCTTGAATTCCTGTAGATTGGTGGCTTCTCCAGAGTCAATTGGCTGGCCCTGTTGGGTTAGGGTCAACCAAGTACCAGTGTTGGACGTCCACCACAGGTGTTGTGGACATTGTTTCTGATACTGGTGTTTGGTTATGGTGCCCACAAAACCCTGGCATCTCTAAAATGTTCTACTTTAGCACTGTAGTGCATCCCCTTGCAGGACTCTATGGTGGGTGGAGTCAGTGGGCACTGAAGTTTCTCTCTTTTGTATGGATCTTGTCCACAGTGACCAAAAAAAAAAGAGCACATTGATAGGAAAGTGACCACGTTTGGAGAACTTTGAACAGCATTTTGCACCTGTACCTCACTTTTTCATCATGCATTCTTTATCGGACAAACCTTTAAGGCAAATGTCTCCCATTTTTATTCGGATGGGATTAAAGGGGCTTGCTGGCTCTCCAAAGTCGGTGAAGAAGCTACATTCTAGGGACATCTTGGTGGAATCATCTACATCAAAACACAGTGAACTCCTCCTGAATTTGAAGGCCATTGGGGATATATCTATTGAGGTTGCTCACCATGCTACTTATAATTCCTCCCAAGGAGGGATTGTTGAGACGGATTTATGAAACATCCCCGAGTCATAGATCCTAGCAGGTTTCTCAAGATCTGTGACCATCAGATAGAACATGACCAAACATGGCGACATGAATCCGTAATAACGTGATGGGACTCCAAAATTGTTTTAATATAATGTACTCAGCTTCGTATAACATTGGGTTCCTGAGTTCTAACCATGACTTGTGTCGTATCTGATATATTATAATGTAGATGAGCTTGTTAGTTGTTGCAGGTATTTCTGTATTATTATATAGTTATAGTTTTATTAACTCCTAAAAACTTCTTTGGAAAGAGTTGAGGAACAAAGTTTTATACTAAAGTCAATATTGTAAAACAAAGTAATTTCCTTTTCTTCTTTACAACACATCATCTCTCCTCAACCAGAGACAAAGTAGTGTTTTTCAGTGGCAGACCAAGGAATAAGAAATTCTGGTAATTGTTTTTTTGGAGATGCTGCATAAACCGCAGCAAAGTCCAGAATCTGTTGTATCCAGATGTCGAAACCATATGACTGTAATGTATTTTGGTCGGTTATACAACAAGAAATACCTTCATTACCTATGAAGTTTCTTCAGATCATGTGGCCAGTCATAACTTAGTCAATTTCGGAAACTGTAAATTGCAATCATCATATGCTACATTCTTTATAAGTTTCACCAAAATCAGACATTTTAAGTCTGATTCCTACCACTGAGGCACTCCTGGTTGAGGGAAAGATCCTGTGTTAAATAGATTTAAATAATGATTCAGAAAAGATATTTGTAAAACTTGTGGTTTTGTTTGTTGTTTTTTTCAGGTGAAAGTGATCAAATTTTCATACATGTGGACAATAAATAACTTTAGTTTTTGTAGAGAAGAAATGGGAGAGGTTCTAAAAAGTTCCACATTTTCTGCGGGAGCAAATGACAAACTCAGATGGTAGGTTTTTATAGTAATCGTAATGAAACTTTTCTTGTAATAAATAAATGTGTGCAAAATGAATTGAGTTACACTTTTATGCTGTAAGTACATAACAAATTTTTCGTAAACTAAAACAGCAGTTGGAATTAGATTTGATCATGTTTCTGAAGTTAGTTTTGAAACATCAGAAATAATTATTAAAAATTGTGTATTTACTAATTTTATTTAATATTTTCAAATCTATGTAATTATAAAGGTTATTGCTAATCCTATACCAGAACACACAGTCCGAGATGATTGGCAAATAGCTTGCTTTGCTTACTTTTTTTCAATAAACATGTGCAACTTTCCAAATCCATGCTTAGTACATCATACTTCATCAAAACTACTTATTTATAATATTAGAATAAAAAAAATTGGACAAATTCAAGACTATTTGTACATATGTGTTAACAGATTCTTTTAAATAAGCATGTCTCTAAATACAGACAATTATATACATTCAACTTTTGATCAGTGGGATTAATCACATATTTTAAAACATGCATGAATATATATAAAAAAAAATTTTTACTTAATTTCCAAAATGTAAGTAAGTGTAGGGATGGCTAATATCAATCCTTCAAATACAATGCAAACAAGATA